GGCAGCCAATCTCTAAGCTCATAAAAATGGTGATCTGGGGTTTGCTCTGATTAGCACCAAGGTTCTATGATGCCATTTCCTTTTTCGGTTCGGTTCGTTTACGCCGAGTGCACACTACGCGAATTTAGAAATTCCAGAATCGCTGACCGTTTCACGCTACATGACTTGAATCGCTTCAGATCGGTTGTTTGTTGCTGTAGGGGAGAGCACACTACACGACTGCGCGCAGATGAAGCGTTCACACTAAGCAGGAATCAACGTAGATTCTCACTTTGTGTGCGTAACAAAATAATCGTTCCAGTCGAACTGTAGTCGATCCTGAATCGCTTTCTCCAACTGCATGAAGTGAATCAAACATGGAGTGTTTTGTGTGTGTGTGTGTGTGTGTGTGTGTGTGTGTGTGTGTGTGTTGAGGCTGAGGTGCAAACTGAGCCTAAGGACAGAGCTAAGTGCTTCGGAAATGCCACGTGTTCCAGAGATCTGGACTTACAAACAAAAAAAAAAGGAAAAGAAACGGAGGACGCAACCTACGAAATATTTTAAACTAGTTACTTATAATGTATTCAGCACGGCTCTGTGTTCTTCCTGCCTGGGTGATTCTTGGCAAAGTTTTGTTCACTTTTGTTCACCACATTTCTGACCAAATAATGAATGGGATGATTTTTAATGATAATAAGTTTTATGCATGTGTTTTCAGGCCTACACACACACACACACCTGGACTCTGTTTTTTTAACTTCTTTTTTTCATTTTTTGGTTCATTTAATCATGTGCTGTAAGAAAACAAACCCAATTAAATAGCAAAACAAACAAAAAGTATCAGATTGTGCTCTCATTTGGACTCAGCAACCAGACTCATAGGTGTGAAAGCACCCTTAGGCTCCTGGCTACAGATTGCTATAGATTGCATCATTTTCATCTGAACTCACAAATTCGACCCCACTTTAACTATGTAGAAGTATAAATATGAAATGAAATAACAAGCCTTCTATGGGCTGTGTGAAGATTTTATTGCAAATAAATAAATAAATAAATAAATTTAAGCTCTAGCATGAAAGCTATTTTACCAAGAAATATCCCTGGCTGTATTTGTGCTCGGCTACGTCACTTCCACCACCCTGCAAAACTCTTTTTGGACATACAGCTCCTTCGAGCTAAAAGAAAACAACCTCCAGATGATCAATAGCTATAACAGAAAAGTGCCACGGTGATGGAGAACTTTAATCCATGTGCGGGTGTTTAATTTTCTGCTTGATGTGCTCCTTATGCTTACTAGTCAGCCTACACTTATTGACTTGGCCTCAGGATATAGGGAACCTTCTTGCGGTCGAAAACACTTCTAATAAATGATTAGATCTTCAGAAGACTCGTGTTCTATAAAGGTCCAGAGCTCAAATGCCGTATGGCAAGAATAAGGAAAAGCAGGACATGCAATATTACATTTTCTTCATGAGAATAACTATATCTGTTATGGTTGATCCCTTATCATGATATTGTATAAAAGTGACTACTTATACTGCTTCATGACTATTAGTCACTCCTTACTCCAGTAAGGAGAATCACATGATGGGAACAGAAGAGAATTCAGGCCTAGTCATGACACTTTAAAGTCGCTGTGATTACAATATGTTTACGCCACTGTGATGTCGATTCTGATCTGCTTGATTTCTTTTTTTTTCCCCCCTGACAATAGCTTTATATTAACACACTCGTTCTAATATGTTATCACAGTATAGCAGACATTCCACATACATTCTTTTTTACATTTTTGAAATGTGTGTATTTTGCATTTTTTGGAAGGAGTCTCCAGTGTCAGAGTTTTGTAACATTTCAAAGCTAAAGCTGTAACTTGAAGTCTGCTGACATGGGACGGCTTTGTGGTTTTACTGTAACATGCCAAGACTTTTCTTTTTTTTTATGCCTTATTAACGTCAAGAGAGATTAAAAGAGAGAGGCTGGAAGGAGAACGGCTGTTTATAGCCGTTATAACATAAGGGACAACAGGAAATAACTTGTTTCACGAATGTTCCACAAGAATAAATGTAACCATAAACAGATAAAAAGTAGGCTACAGCTTGTCATATCAACGCAACACACACCCACTCATTACCTTCCTAGAACAGCAACAACCTGTCATGCTTTATTCCATACAAAGTGTACAATGAATTATCAGCATATGTCTCATGAAAACATATTAAAACTCTGTTTATATGTAAACAGTAACAAGTAAATATGATTTTCCAAGCAGTTTGCACTGCCTGGTACTTTTAGATGCTCTTACATCAGTATGTTATTAGCATGGTGGTGTTTTGTGCATAGTATGGATTTTTTTTTAAAACTTTAAATAGTAAGAGTTTAAATAAATACAATCTAAATAAAGGACTTCATCCTCTCGTCTGGGGTTTGTTTCTGTTCATCCCTCCACTTGTTATATTTTCACAGTTTTGTCAATGTTAGATTGGGCTTCAGATTACTAAATGGAAAGAAATCTTTTGACATTTTTATTTATTAAAGCCTTTTAAGTCTTCAAAGAGCACTGGCAGTGAAGACTCATTACGCGAATAAAGCAAGACGCAAAACAAAGAATGAATGAACGGATTCACAATTGGACAGCGGTGTCAGTGTTGATTCTAAAAGCTGGAGTAAACGCTCATGGGCAGAAATAGGCAGCAAGCAGTGAACCTCGTCACTGTCCCGGGTCAACACGCGGCTCATTCTGATTAGCCTGGACGCGCTGCGATCAGCCTGGCTGGCAAAACGTGAACAAGACAGCTCCACGACGCTCAGCACTTCTGTATTTGTCCTGGATTGCGTTCGTGCTTGAAACTATCCACACTCCAGTTAAAAAGTTCTCACACTTTTGCACTTTTATACAGACCCAAAGCCATTTGCATCCGGAGGTCGGTCAAGCGTGAAGGCTGCTTTAAATCCGG